GCGGCTCGCAATGTCAACATGTTCCCAGGTGGTGTTCACACTGATCACCTGGTTAAGGTGGTATATTACGGGTTTCTCCACTGCAAACTTAGTATTTTCCCCCGTTTCAGTAGATACATGTCTTGGGGCTGATAATTTCAGCCTATGCTAATTATTCTGTTTCTTCTCCAATCTTTGCCCACGGATTTTATTTTAATTTTATTATTATTATCTTTTAATCCTTGCCCGAGGATGTTTTTTCCATTGCTTTTCAGAGAGAGTGGAAAGGGTGGGGGAGAGAGAGAGAGAAACATCTATGTGAGAGAGATGCATCGATTGGTTGCCTCCTGCTCTCATGCCAACTGGGGCCGGGGATCGAGGCTGCAACCGAGGTACATGCCCTTGGCTGGAATTGAACCTGGGACCCTTCAGTTTGCTGGCCAACGCTCTAACCACTGAGCAAAATTGACTCAGGCTGCCCACAGTTGAATTTTGCTTGCAACAATTATTACTGTGGTGTGTGCCTCTCGGTAATTTTGTATTTCCATTGTGCCTTATATATTTATTAAATTAGGATTCTTCTGTAAGGAAGATTCCTTCCCCCCCATTTATTTATGCATTGATTTATGTATTTATGCCAGTATGTACTTGTGGGTATGTATTTAATTATATGTATAGTTACTTATTTTTGGCTCAAATTGTTTTAGCTTTAGCCATTAGGAGCTCCATCGCATTGTCTCCTGTGTCCTTTTTACATGAGAAACGTCTTATTTTTTGGTGCCACAAGCTGCTCCAGACTCATCTTGTATTTTCCCCACCCCAGTCCTAGAATCAACCACTTCTCCAAGGAACCCTCATTTCTTTTATTGGAAAATGGGGTGTAGAAACCAAAATCTGGATGTTTAATGTTTTCATTGTTACTGGGGTGATTACTCCTGGATCCTCTCAGTGGACAGACCTAAAAAAATATATGTATGTTTACTAACCCCCACATACACACATATCTCTATTAATTTCTTATTTCTATCTCTTTGTGTGTGTATGTGTGTGTGTGAGTGTATATATGTACATATGAAACAGTGAGTTACACTGATATTTTGGATTCCAAAACAATACCACAATATTCATTCTAACCTTTCTTTTTGCTTATTCATAACTTTTTTCTCCAAAAGCGAGAAACTTGGTTCTCACTATCTGCAATATGTTTACCAGTTTGTTCAGTCCCAGTATACAAATGAAGTATTTACAGAATTATCAATCTATAATCCTTGAGTAATACAGGTTTAATTAGAGTACAGTCTTTGTATATAGCTGTTCTTGTTTTTAACCTTGCAACAGCCAGTCAAGATACTGTTTTTCAAAGTTACTTAGGCTAGTACTTTTCTTCCCCATTCCCTTCAGTGTGGTAATATTATTTATAATACAGTATATTCATTTGTTTCTATTTGTATTGCATTTTTAATCCCTCCCTTCACCCCCACCCCTGCTTCCTGATTAATTGTATGTACATATGTATGGAGGTGTATATGTATTCATGTGTGTATGTAAAACACTGTGGTTCTGAGAGTCAGGGCTATATTAAAACTCAGAGAAGAGTTACTCCCTCCTCCTGTTTCTATTACCCTGTTCCTATTTCTCCTTCTCTCTGCCCCTTTTCCCACACACTGTGGTTCACCATCTCTGTAGTTTCTGGTTTATCCTTCCTGTATTTCTTTTACACAAATAAGCAGCTAAATGTGTATTTTATTTTTAGCTACTTTATTATTAAAATTTACATACCATAAAATTCACTAATTCTAAGTAATTGTACAAATTAATGATTTTGGGTAAATTAGTTGAGTTGTGCACCCAACTAGCGTTGCATAATACAGTTTTCAAACATTTTCCTCATCTCAATCAGATCCCTCATGCCCATGTACAGTTAGTTAATCCCTGTCCCCAGCTCCAACTCCAGGCAACCACTAATCTATTTTCTGTGTCTACAGATTTGCCTTTTCTGGACATTTCATATAAATGGAATCATACAATATGTGGTCTTTTGCGTTTGTCTTTTTTCACATAGCTTTTGAGGTTCATCTGTGTTGTAGCCTTTATTGGCATTTCATTCCTTTTAATTGTTGACTAGTATTCTGTTGTATAGATATACATATTTTATATGTATGGATATACATTCACCAGCTGATAGACATTTGGGTTGCTTCTACTTTGGGGCTATTATAAATAATGTTGCCATGAATATTCACCTGCAAGTCATTGTGTGGACATGATATTACCTTTCTCTTGAATATATACCTAGGAGTAGAATTTCTGGGTTATATATGTTCAACCTTTTAAGGAACAGCCAAATTGTTTTCCATAGTGGCTGTGCCATCTTATATTATCATTAGCATGTCTGAGGGTTTCCATTTCTCCATATCCCTGCCAATATTTGTCATTGTCTGTCTTTTTATTGTAATTATTCTAGTTTTAATTTGAATTACCCTAATAACTGATGATGTTGACCATCTTTTCATGTGCCTATTAATCATTCACAGTTCTTCTTTGGTAAAATGTCTATTCAAATCTTTTGCCCATTCTAAAATGGAGTTGTTTGTTTTCTTATTGTTGAGTTGTAATAGTTCTTTGTAAGTCCTTTATAAGGCATGTAATTTACAAGTATTTTCTACCAATCTGTGGCCTGTCTTCATTTTTTTAATGGTGTCTTTTGAAATGCAAGTCTTTAATTTTGATAAAGCCCAACTTATAAATGTTAAAATATATGGATTTTATGTTTGGTGTTGTACCTAAGAAATCTTTACCTAACCCAAGGTCTCAAAAATTTTCTCATAAAAACTTTATATTTTCTCTTAAAAGCTTTATAGTTTTAGCTCTTACATTTAGGTATCTGATCCATTTTGAGTTTGAGTTTTGCATATGGTGTGAGGTAAGGGCCTAAATTAATCTTTTTGCATATTGATATCCAATTGTCTCACCACCATTGGTTGAAAAGACTATCATTTCTCCTGACAAATTGTCTTAGCACTTTTGTCTCAAATCAGGTGACCATAAATATGAGGGTTTATTTCTGGTCTCTCAGTTCTGTTTCATTGATCTCTATGTCTGTCTTTATGCCCATACCAAACACTCTCTTGATAACTATAGCTATATAGTAAGTGAAAGTCTTCCAGTTTTCCTTTTTCAAAATTGTTTTGGTTCTTCTGAGTCTTTCCCATTTCCGTATAAATTTTAAGATAAGCTTATCAATTTCTGCAACAACAACAACAACAACAAAAAACCCAGTTGGAATTTCTTGTGTGTGTGTTTTTTGTATCCCCTTGTTTTCTACACAAAGATAGGATACTACAGAGGCTCTTTTGCATTTTTCTTTTACTTAATAGTATATCCTGGAAACCACTCCAAATCAGTTCATAGAGATCTTTATCATTGTTTTTTAACAGCTGCATAGAACTTCGTTGAGTAAATGTACCATAATTCTTCAACTACTTTGTTATGTACGGGCATTTAGGTTGTTTTTAGTATTTTGTAATTACAAATGCTACAGTGAGTAATCTTTGGCATATTTATTTTCCTGTTGTTGGAGATGTATCTTCGGGGTAGAGTCCTAGAAGTGGGATGGCTGGTTGAAAGGTAAATATATATTTCTCCATACTGAAGAAATAGCATCTGACTGGTTTATGTCTCTTTTATGCCGTAGACATTGATGAATGTGAAAACGAGCTCAAAGGAGGCTGTGTCCACGACTGTTTGAATATTCCAGGCAATTACCGCTGCACTTGTTTTGATGGCTTCATGTTGGCTCATGATGGTCATAATTGTCTTGGTAAGGAGAACGGTTGGGAATGGCAATTCTCCTTTACCCTCCGGCACCCCACCCCATGTTTTCCTTTGATGAAATGCCCATTAAAACAAAAAGGGGATCAGAGACTTGTGTTTTCTGGCCCCCTAGAAATCATACTCTCTGACGGAAAACCAGGTAAAGTGTTTTCACTTTTACTGCGATCATTCATAATATAAAACCTCCGCTAGTCCAAGGAGGCGGGCGGGCATCATCATTACTACTTATTGACTTTCCAGCATTGACTTGCCCACTTTAAGATCTTTGATTTTGTGTTAAAAGGGTCTTGACTTTGACCCATTTCTTTAATGCTGTAGGTGTCTCTATTCTAGAATTAGGTAAAACTACTTGTCCTGTAGAACCCGAGTATATGCTGAGTTGCATCCAGGTAGACCCCCCTTTTTTTCTGGAAATAGAGATTCAAACAGAAACCCTCCAGCAACATCCCCCTAGGATCCCACTAAACAGAAACAGCTGTTGGAGTTTTAGTCCCTGAGTTAGGGACTGCGAAGAATGGGGTTTGCATTGGTTTCTTATGTTAGGAATAAAATAGAACTTAGAAAGAGCAAGCAACTGGGTAGGGCCGGGTGGTGGGCAGTCCTGGAGAATACAGTACACCTGGCAAGCAGATATGTGTGGTCGGTTTGCATTTTAAGGCTGGTGTTACCAATTGTGTGGAAGCACACGATGGGAGACAAATGGCATCAGGTTCCCCTTGACACTGGTGACCCTTCATGCGGCTGACCCACTGATGTCCTCTTGGTTGACCCAGGCCCTGGCTCTGTGGGGGCAGCTGTTCAGATGCTCCCTTACAGTGCAGTGGGAACAGCCACTTGATCAAATGCTTTGAGATCAGCATTAAAGTCCCAGATAAGTGTGGGCAGAAGTTGTATTTTGTGTGAAGTATTTTCCTTTTGGACTCATGCCTCAGATGACCTTTGTCCACTTCAGTGTCACCGGGAGCCTCATCCTGATGCAAACTCTGTCCCTTCCTGTCTGTGCCCCGTGTAAGAGGTTAGGCTTTGGTTAGACCGCTTGGCTTGACGGAGGGCTGGAGGGTCACTAAGCCCTTTTCAGACTTTGTAGGCCATCAGTACCACAAAAAGGCACATTAGAGAATCCTGATGGCAGCAACACTGAGGTTAATGAAAGCCTCAAGCAAAGGAAATCACTTTTAGTGTATAATTTTTGGGAAGCATACATGTATTTGTGCAGTTTTTTTGGTTGTTGATTTTTGTTTTGTTTTTACTATATTTTGGGGGAAATCTCACATTTCCCTTTGAGTTGCCAACAGTAGCGTTTTGAAGGTTTGTATCTGATGGCAGATGCAGTCATAACAGTTATGCTCAAACCCATAGCCTGGGAGAAGTGTGAGCTTCCTAAGAACAAGAATTGGAACCATCCAGAAGTTAGGACCTGGGCTAGGGTTGGGTGGGGTGGTTCTGAGGGGCACAGGCCTGCTCAGAAATCCTGAGGCTCGGAGTCCTTCCTTGCCTGGCCACTAACACAGATATTTTAGCAGACTATCTCCATTTCCCATCTTTGGGGTCTCTTTGTGGGTTTGGTAGCAAGGATCTGCCTTGCGGAAAGATCCTGAGCATCCACTGACTGTATCTGAACGGGCTGAGGATTCTTTAAAAGGAAGGCATGAGAAAACAAAGTGGTACACTAAGAAGAGCAGGGCCAGCATCCATAGACCTCTCGGCCAGTTAGACTTGCAGGGCTGAAGCATTTTGTGACCAGAAACAAGCTCAGAGCCAGAACTTTTCAGGAGCTGCAGTTTTCCTGTGTTCTCTGGGATGAGCCCTCGCTTCTCCTCGGCCCCCTTAACCACACATCAGCCACAGATATATTAGCCAGAATCTACACAGTACAAATACCACTTAGCTCTGGCACTGACCCCAGAGTCGTCCAAGACCTGAATGCTGTGAGCCTGGAAAATGAAACACAGCCCTTTAATGCCGCTCACCCACCTGAATTCAGTTCCTATTTACTGAGCTTCTGGCAGCAGGCCTAGCTCTTTGGTTTTGTAGCAGTGGTTCTCCACTCTGGCTGCATGTTGGGATCACTTAAGTTTAAAACAACACCATGGCCACCCTGGCTGGGTGTTACAGTTGGTTGAAGCTCTGTCCCGTGCACCAAAGGTTGTGGGTTTGATTCCTGGTCAGGGTACATACTCAGGTTGTAGGTTCAATCCCCGGTCGGGGGTGCGTAAGGGAGGTAACCAATCAATCTTTCTCTCTCACATCGATGTTACTCTCTCTCTCCCCCTCCCTCTAAAATCCATAAAAATGTGTCCTGTGGTAAGGATTAAAAAATATTAATTGCCTGGCCGGGCATGGCTCAGCGGTTGAGCATCGACCTAGGATCCAGGAGATCGGGGTTCGATTCCCGGTCAGGGCACATGCCCTGGTTGCGGGCTAGGCAGCCGATCAATGACCGTCTCATCATTGATGTTTCTATCTCTTTCTCCCCCACTCCTTTCCTCTCTCTGAAATCAGTAAAGATATGTTTAAAAATATATATATTATTTAACACCGTGGCCTAGGCTTCACCCAAGATGACTTTAATTAGTGTCTCAGGAGGTAGGTCCAGGCCTCAGGGTTCTAACATGCAGCCAGGGTTGTAAAACACTGTTTTACAGTCTGGAGAAACTCACCAACCTGTGATATAAACGTGTGCACGTGAACACGCACACTGCGTAGTAACCCAATCAGAGTGCCTCACCTAACCTGACACATCTCTAATTGCTCTGGAGAAAGGATTAGTGGGTTAGACGTGGGGCGGGGTGTGGCAGCTCAGAGGAGGGCACCCCTTTACCCAACAGCAGGCCAGGGTTTGGTGTCCTGGGAAACATCTCTCGGGCTCCCGGTGAGCCCTCGCTGCGGAGCACAGGCCAGGTGTGTTCCCGCGTGGCTCCTCCTCAGGAATGTGCTCCCTTCACCCTTTGGCACAAAAAGGGCAAGTTTGTTAGGCTCCGGGGGATGGCTCGAGTCCCATCAGTTTAGGAAGGCATCTGCTCGGTGTGGGAAGGCCCATGACTCTGAGATCTGAAGCTTGAAACCAGATAACAGATATTTAAATGTGAATTTTCTTGTTACGGATGTGCCAAGGAGCTAGTGATAGGCACCCGGGAAATCAGGCTGGAGAAAAGAAATGGCTTTTCTCTCAGCCTTCTCCTTGAGCCTCTGTCACATCTGAGACTTTTCTGGAAGTTTCCTCCTCTTTGTCTCTGGCGGCTCTGTGCTTTCCTGCTTGCTTGCTCATACGTTGGAGAGTTCGGGTGCAGCTGCGGGTTCCAGGGCTGTGTTAAATAAAACACACGTCTTGGTCCTCAGGGAGTTTGCAGTCTGGTGGAGATGGATAAAGAAAAGATTTTGAGGAGTCAAAAAGCACAAATTAAAAACACATTTTTTTTGAGAACGTAGCTCAGTAAGTATTTTGATGAAGCCGTGGGCATGTGACTCAGTGGGAGGATCCCCACCCTGCGGGGGCATCTCCCTCCCTGTGTTTCTGGTGGCCCCTTCTCTGGGGCTCCTGCTGTCCCCTCTTTCTCCTCCTGCCCTTGGTATTCTCTCAAATTCTACCTCTGGGGCCTCCTTGCTCCCCTCTCTCCCTTCCCGCACTCCTGCCTTAGGCTTCCTCGTGTACATTCACCTATATCAGGCGTCACGAGTAAATGTGTCTTTACACGGGGGTGGGTTTCCCGCCCGCCTGCGCCTGCGGGGCCTCGCTGCGGATGCCGGCACCTCACACTGTCGCCTCCCCACGGCGTGGGGCTAACCGCTCTCCACCCCACCTCTACCCAGTGCTGCTTCTCTCCATGTTCCTTGGCCCCCCGCCTCCTGCCCACACGGCTCCCCATCCTGCAGGCCCCCGTCTACAGTCCTCTTTTACTTCTTCCTCCCCAGGCGTCCCCCTCCAGGCCCCAGGTCCAGCCCCCCCAGTGCCAGGCGTGGCTGTTTCGGGCACTCGTGTGCAGCGGGGCTCCCAGGCCTTCGATTCCTCCCATTCCCTGCGTCCTTGCCTCTGCCGCCGCTTGTTCTGCCCAGCCCAGGGGGCTGACCCTGTCACCCCTGCTCCAGCGGGTCCCAACCGCCTCCCAAATGAAGTAGGCCCTTCTTTGCTTGTTATTCAAGGTCCCCCGCAGTGTGACCCCGAGTCCATCTCCCAGCCCTGTCTCCTGTAACTTCCTGCTTGTACCCGCGCTCCAGCCCCGGGGGATGACCCCCGTTACCTGCACAGGCGCCGTGCTCCCAGCCCCCCGCTAGTGCTCACGCTCCTTCTGCCCAGAATCCCTTCTCCTCACTTGTAATGGAAGGAACCCCACGGGGCCCGTCCTTCACCAGCTCTCCCATGAAACCCGTCCTGATACCCACAGCCACATGTGGCTCTTCCCTTTGCGCCACCTCTGACCATATGGCCTCATTACTTGTCCACGTGTCCCTTTCCCTCTCCTGAGGGCCTTGCTCTCTATGTTTTACTGGCTCCCCGGGCACTGTGCTTTGGAAAGAGGTGTTCAATCAATATTTACTAAACTGATGATCTCGTGTGCCTGTGGAAGGCCTATTCTGAGTGAGCCCCGGGCCCGTGAGGGTTGGTGCATCATCTGGGGGTCCCACTGGCTTCCATTCTTAGAGCTTCTGTGATGCAAGGACCAGAAGAGGGACCTTATCTCTGCTTAGTAGGAGTCCCCGAGCTGCCAGGCTGGGTGGGGCGTTTGAAACAGTCACCGAAGTAAAAAGGCTAAGCCTTCTCCCCTCCAGATGTGGACGAGTGCCTGCAGAACAATGGCGGCTGCCAGCACACCTGCGTCAACGTCCTGGGGAGCTACGAGTGCCGCTGCAAGGAGGGGTTTTTCCTGAGCGACAATCAGCACACCTGCATTCACCGCTCAGAAGGTATCTTTGCCCCGCTGTGGGTGGGGCCACGTCTGAGAATCTCCCACCCCCGGGGACTCTAGAAGGGAAGCTTGGGCCATAGAAAGTCTGGAGGCCTGAGGACAAGTCCAGACTCTGCGGCTGGGTAACCGTGGGCAAGTTATTGTAGCTTCTCCTTCACCTGGCAAAACAAGTGGCTGAGCTCTGAGGTCTCTTCAAACTCTCACATTCTCTGATTCTAATCTTTAAACAGAGTACATTTCAAACATGACTAGATGTCTCAGGAGAAATGGACAATCTGCCAAGTTTTTCAAAAGCGTGCTGCAAACCACAGCACCAAGTGCGAGCCTGCTCCCTGCTCCCTGCTCGGGGTGGGTGGGGAAGGGCTGCAGCCTTCCAGCGCTTTGCCCCGTTTGCAGCCCTCGGCTAGATCTGGCCTTCCCTGTGTTTTGCATTTTTTAACTCTGAGCCTCCGAGGCTCCAGGGAGCAGGGGACCCCCTCCCCAGACTTGGGCTCTCTGTGCTGTGGTTTTCTGCACCCATGTCACTTACCACTCCTCCATAAATTTGCAGAAAACTCTTGTCTTTTGATGGTCTTCGTTTTGTTCTCTCTGCTTTGACTCGATACCTTTTTTTAATTCTTCTATTACTTCAGTGGCCTCTCGGGAGGGAGAGGCATTGAGTACATGTGGCCAGTCAGCCACTTTCTACCAAATGATGTGCTTTTGATTCTTCTCTGCTCTTTCTTAAGCTAAATAATCACACTTTGGTGGCCGCGTTTCTTCTCCAAGGGTTGCCTGTTCCTGTATTCAGAGGAGGTGCCCTAAATATTAGACTATTAACTCCTTTTGGCTGGTGCTGCTTACTCATTTACACAACTTAAGAATGAGGCCATTGTAAGTTCTTCTATTATTTAAGCACAGATTTTTAGGTTTATTATTTTAATCGTGGTTTCAGTGACTTTTCAAGGGTTTCTTTGTGGGAGATGACTTCTGCTTCATTTTCTAAGCATGACGGCTCCTTCCTTATACCTAACTGGAGAGCCTATGTGGGTCCTAAGCGCGGTCAGAGAAAACACCGGAGCAGCAGGTTGATGGCTCTCACCGCCCCAGAGGCTCGCTGTCAGTGCCTGAGCAGGGCGTTCACACAGACTGCCTCTAATGACGCAGACCTGTCTCACGTAGGCTCGAGAGAGTAGCAGCTGGCTTTCATTTTCCTGCCTGTCTCTCTGGACTCTCCAGTGAGCTCTGCATCGTTGCGGAGGCAGAGTTCAGATACTGCTGAGTGCCAGTGATCTGGATCTCAGGGCATCTCCCCTTTGCTCAAAACTGCTTCCTGAGCCCTGGCCAGTTTGGCTCAGGGGTTAGAGTGTCGGCCTGCGACTGAAGGGTCCTGGGTTCTATTCCGGCCAAGGGCACACACCTGGGTTGCAGGCTCAATCCCGGCCCAGGTCAGGGCTCGTGTGTCTCTCTCACATCGATGTTTCTCTCTCTCTCTCCCTTCCACTCTCTCTGAAAAAGCAATGGAAAAAAATATCCTCAGGTAACGGTAAAAAAACCAAAACAAACAAAAAAACCTGCTTCCTGAGAAGTCACTCTAGCTGCTTCTTCAGATGGCGGGGAAGGAGATGGGGCACCTGTAGGTCAAGCCATTGCTTGAACACCCCCAGTGTGGACCCCACCCACTCACCAATCCACTCACCCCTACCCTTGCTCTTCCAGTGTGGTGGCCTCTCTTTCCCCTTGGGCAAACCCCCCCCCCGACTGATTCCAGACCCAGGCTCCTCATAACAGAAGTCAGCACTAAAGCAGTTTCTCTCCACAATCTGTGTTTTCTAAATTTTCTACAATTCAGACATTCTTGGAACCCCTGAAGAGTATTTAAAATGCACATATTTGTCTGGAGCTAAAACCAAAATCCAAGAATATGAGTTGTGGTCTGGAAGCTCTCTGTGATTTCCCCCCGCTTTCCGACCTGACGGCTTGGCAAACCCGTGTCTGCGGGCGAGCCAACGGATTACAGCGCTCTGTAACCGAGATCCCTTCCATCCTCGGGTTTTAACTCTTCAAACAGAGCAATCTCTAAACGCTGTTCCTCTAGGATTTCCTCCTTGACATGCACATTAAACCCTTAGAAACTGTATTAAAACAGACTTTAAAACCCACAGATGATACTCGAAAAACGGTGAAAAGAAGGCAACACTGCAAGCTACTGTTTTCTGGTGTTGCTGTTGTTTTTAAGTAATTATTCACTGAATGTTCTTCGATCTGGGGAATCCTAATAGCTGATCCTGAGGGAAACAAAGCTCAAGCTATTGATTTAAAAAAAAAAAAATTCTTACAGACCCGAGGCTCTGACAGAGAGACTGTGTGTTTTCACCCATGTAATGGGGGTGGGCTGGAGAGAGACCTCGCCCCAGTCTGCCTTTGTCCCCATTCATGGGTGCTCAGGCTCTCAAAATGAGCAATCCTCTTTTGTTTTGTCTGCTCTGAGAATATTTTTAGATGTTTGTGCTGCTCTCTTTTCAGAGGAGTGGGGAAGGTGTCAGGGTCGTGAGGAAGGGGCTGTGCTCCCAGCAGGGCCTGTTTCCCGCTTTGTGGACTGTTCCTTGTCCTGTTGGCAAGGCATATTTTTATTTGGTTTCCAGAAGTATTCTTTACTGAGACCCCGAGCCTGGGCACTGCTAGAATGGGGCAGTTCTTATGTTTCTGAGCCGTTTCCCTCCTGGTGAAGTGACAACCCTAAACACGACTGCCAGGCCAGTTCCTGGGGGAGCTGGGGCCGTGGGCAGCTGGGCTTCCCGGTGTGGACCGGACCCATCTGCCTCCCCTAGGAGTGGCCTTCTTTGGAGTTGGGGTACTCTGAAAAGCAAGGGTCACCTCTTGAAAAGCCCTCAGCATCTCTAGAGCCATTTCAACCTCCATTATCTCCTGGTAAGTTTAGGTCTAGCTTGATACGATATGACATCAGGGAGCAACTTTTTCATGTATCTCTGTGGCACTGGGCACACAGTTCTCACAAAATATTTTTTGTGTAGTGAATTGCTCTCAGGTGGTCAAGGTGACTTTGCAAATGTCTAACAGACTTGTATAAACAGAGTGAAGAAGGAAAAGCAGCAGCTGATCCGTTTGGGGAGTGTCCTCTGCAGGTGTCCCTGTCACCGCTTCTCAGGCACTGTTACCTGTACCCCGAGGTACTCCTGGTAACTCATTTCAGATGCTCTGCTGACCCAGTGGCCAGTGTAATGCCGCCCCCCCTGGGAGGACAGGACACTGCTTCCGGAGGCAGCTCTCACCTCCTGTGCCGTCTGGGCACTGGGAGAAATAACGTCTTCAGAAATCACCAGCCCGAGCAAAGAGAGCTTTCCGCTGACCCAGTGTGTTAATTGACAGCAGCCCCTGGCGTGGGCGAATGACTCCCAGCAACTTCCAGCAGACGGAGTGCCGGAGTTCAAAGGGCTCGTAACCATCAGATAAAAATCAAGATGGTTTTGGGAGATGGGATGGATTAACTGTTGCGCTCTCTTTTGGAACAGGAATGACATCTGTTTGTATTACACTCATTCTGGTTAAGTACAGGTTGATGGCTCTGTGGTAGAATTGGAGAGAGGTGACTTGAATTCACTGGAACCAAGTGGCTCAGGTTTTGGGGGCACAATGCAGAACAGTGTGGGATCCTAGAGAAGTTGAATGAAAACTTTTGCTACTTATGTTTAAAACAGTGTTACTTCCAGTATTAGAAAGTGTCTTGTTAGTACAGAGTCAATGAGAACAAAATCTCTGCCTTCAGAGATGTTTTAGAGTTGCATTGCACAAATTTGAAGAAGTATCAGGAATGCACACTTAATAATGCACCACAAGCTGGAGTTTGGAGAATAACCTCGGATATGATAATAGCGCCTTCAGAACGCTGGCAGGAGTCAAGGTCTCCACGGGTTTTAGGATGAGGCACGATGCTGGCAAACCACAGGGGTGTCCACTTTGCTATGGCCCTGTCATTTCCATGTATGTTAAACCATCTGGGAAGATAACCACCTGTTCCCCTTCCTGCCACTATTACCACAAGATTGGGTCTAATGAAACAGAGTATACCCAAAAGAATTACACCGCAGCCCAAGCAAACCACGTGCAGGAGGTCTCCCTCTGTTCTCTTTGCTGTCGTGTTGCTGTTGGATGACTCTGTTAGAGCCTGTGCCCCAAGCCTGCTGACAGAGGGGCCCAGGGACTAACTAGGGTGGTCACAAAGGAGAGGTCCCTGGTGGTGCCAAAATACAGTAGCCACAGTTATCTCCCAAGTGTGGATTTGGTGGGGCTAGAGAGGAGGGTGGGAATTTTCTGAAAATCGTCTTCAAGAGCACGTGAAAACATTGGGACTCTTCTTCAGCCTCTCTGAAGGTTTTCTTAGGGACACTCTCCTCTTCCCTTTGCATCCTTGCTCAGCATTGGTAACCAGTTCCTGGGCTCAGCAGGCTCCGATTCCACACTCAGCAGAGAGCTCCTGGCGGGAGCTTTCTTCTTAGTCTATTGGGGGGGCTCCTACCTCTTTTGGAGAATTGAGATATCTTATCTCTTGAGTGACATAATAAATTTTGCATTATCTCTATTAATTGACCTGCCTTGATTTTAATGACAAATACGGGGCTGCTGCCCTGGCAGGTGTGCCTAATGGTTAGAGTGTTTGCCTGCACTCCGAAGGATCTTGGGTTTGATTCCTGATCAAGGGGAAGTACCTGGGTTGCAGCTTCGATCCTTGGCCCTAGTTGGGGTGCCTACGGGAGGCAACCAATTGATGTGTCTCTCTCACATCTCTCTCTCTCTCTGTCGCTATCTCTCTATCTCCCTCCCCCTTCCACTTTCTAAAAATCGATGGGGAAACAAATGTCCTTGGGTGAAGATTAACTATATATAAATATATATGTATATATATGGGCTGGTGGAGACTCAGGCCGGTGGGTCTGTGCTCACTGCTGGTCTCATGCTGCTGTTTTGCAGAAGGCCTGAGCTGCATGAATAAGAACCATGGCTGTAGCCACATCTGCAAGGAGGCTCCAAGGGGCAGCGTTGCCTGCGAATGCAGGCCTGGCTTTGAGCTGGCCAAGAACCAGAGAGACTGCATCTGTGAGTACAGAATGCCCCCCCGGGAACCATCCTGCCCCAGAGGTTGTCCTCGGCAGCCCAGCGTCAGAAACGCCACCTCCCGGCACAGCAGCGGCAGCAGGGAGGGCAGCTGGCCCGAGACACTGACCTCCCCTGAGTACTCAGTTCATTCGGAGGATAGCCCCCCAGAGGGAAGGGAAATGGTGGTTTTTAAAGGAACCAATCAGTGCTTTATGTATTGGTTCATTTTCCTCTCAGTGACTTGTAACCATGGCAACGGTGGGTGCCAGCACTCCTGTGAGGACACAGCTGAAGGGCCGGAGTGTAGCTGCCATCCACAGTACAAGATGCACGCAGATGGGAGGAGCTGCCTTGGTGAGTGGTGACCCCCATACTGGGTGAGGGTCCACCCCAGCCTGCCCAACCCTGACCCTAACTAACTCTAACCCTAACCCTAACCCTAACCCTAACCTAACCCTAACCTGAACACCAACTCTGACCTGAGCTAACTATTAATGGTGTTCAGCACCAGATGCAGGTGTTTGCAGTGCATTTGGCCCAAAATGGGTCCTGTGCTGCCTCACATGTGGCAGTGGGAGTGGTCTAAGGAATGGGGTCCCTCTCTCCATGTGCGGCCTTGGAAAGCCCTCTCGCCTCTCCTGGATGAAGCTTCTCCTGAAGCTAGAATTCTGGAGACTGGACAACACATCCCGAGGGGCCAGGGCGACACACAGTTGCAGCTAGCTGTCTGTGATGACATCGTGGCCTTTACAGTCAGCAGGAGCCAGGGTTGCATATTTCTGGTGGGACGCCTGCCCTGTCTCTAGTGGCGTGTCCTTCACTAGCCGAAGGGCACTGGAGTGAATCTGAAGCTTGCATTCCCGAGTGTCTCTTTGGTCATGCGATGTGCTTCATACTGATGTTCACTAAGGCTCTGCGTGCATCAGGCGTGCTGCGTGTCCCACAAGCCTTGTCACAGCACATTTTTACTGAGTGAACAGGCACATATTTCACATCGTTCTCATGTCCAGGATTTCCATGGAAGTGGTTGCGCAGGGGATGAATAATCTGACTCATTCAGTCTGAGAACTGTGCTCTTCTGTGTTTCTTGTAGAGCCAGAGGACACTGCCCTAGAGGTGACGGAGAACAATGCCACGTCAGCGGGGGACGGAGATAAGCGGGTAAAACGGCGGCTGCTCATGGGTAGGCGCCCCCCCCCCGGCCACTGTCATTGGCCATTACCCTCCCCAACTTACTATATCGGGCCTGAACCTGGGACCCATGTGCCCTCAGACCAGCTGGACCGGGGTCAGCAGCTCCTGTCAAGCCGGGGTGTGTCTGACCTTCATCCACTGCTGTTGCTTAGTCACCATCGGAGACCCGGGTACTGTGGAAAAAGCCCCCGCCCAGCTGCCAGAATAGCTGGGCTGGCGTCCTAGTGCCGCCTGACTAATTGTGACACCTAGGTGAACTGTCCTGAGCCTTGTCTCCTAGTATTTCTTTAAAATAGATGTAATAGACCTGCCTCTTAGGGTGGTCGGGAAGCCAAGTTAAGATGATTGTATGCACAAGTGCCCAGAGCCCAGTGCCTGGGACTTAGTGGCTAGTCAGTAACATTCAGTTACTCAGAATGTCAGTTCCCCCCCTTCTGAGCAACTGCGACCAGAGAGGCAGCTCGGGCAGCCCCTCGCATAGTATGGGGACGTGTCTATTATTTTTGCCCACTGAGTCTCCTCTTTCTGACTTCAGCCCATGCTAATGTCAGGAGAGGTGAATGGAGAAGAGTGGCCTTGGGCTGTGGGACACGGGAGGGTCTGCCAGCAGGTCCGGCGGTAAAGCTGGAGGGGACAGCGGAAGGAGAGGTGGTGGCCGTGGACATGGGAGTCAGACAGATCTTGACTCATTTTTATTCTGGAGGAAGCTTGGCTTGACTTAAACAAAACCTATCTTTTGATAGCTTCTAGATTTAGCTGTCAGGTAAGACACTGAGCAGCCGGCCATTGGACGCCAGGCAGGTGACGTTTCTGAGCTCTTTTCTGCCCTATTAAAATTATTGTTTTTGATCGCCTTAACTCCAAATAGTACATATGAATAATATAAAAACTTTAAAAACTTAATTAGTACTATGAAGCTTGTGATAAAATGCATCTTGTCCTTGTCTCCTAACTCGCCATTCCAGTCCTTCATCCCATTTGCCAGAGGCAACAATTTTTATTTTGTTTTATTAATTTTATTTTTTTAATCCTACCCAAGGACATTTTTTCCATTGCTTTTCAGAGAGAGTGGAAGGGAGAGAGAGAGGGAGAGAAACATTGATGTGAGAGAGACACATCGATTGGTTGCCTCCTGCACAAGCGCCGACTGGGATAGAGCCTGCAACTGAGGTACATGCCCTTGGCCAGAATCGAACCCAGGACCCTTCAGTCCGCAGGCTGACACTCTAACCACTGAGCCAAACTGACTAGGGCCAGAGGCAAGAATTTTTAATTCTCTTACTTGTTTCTTCTCCTGACTCCCCTTCCCCGTATTTCTGAAGAGTGAAGTCTATACAGTTATTTCTTTTTTTCTAGTTTTATTGAGATACTCTACCGTTCTTTCTTGATGTGTCACTTTTAGATATTAGCTTTTGACTTCCTACTACAGAACACTAAGTTTTGGTTCTCTTCTGCCCCTCACCGACCCCACCCCTTTTCTCCCCCCATACCCTTAACATGGTTTTATCACTATTTCAATCAATATTATGTGCTTACATTATGTGACTATGAATATCTAAATATGGTTCACCCAAGAGTCACATGATGTGCTATGACTGTATTTTCTTTATTTGCTTAGTTTTCTAAGTACCTCTTACCAGCTCTTATTCAAATTTCTGGCAGAGCTCTAAAACCCTTTTCAACGTGTTTAAATAAACACAGCAGTTAACTTATCAATTCTGTTTTCTTCCTAAAAAGTCTCTTCTGAGGCTCCTACCTGCGGTAGTAGGGCTGATTCTTCAGGCCAGCTGCACATGGCTCGTCTGGGCCTCCCCTTAGCACCAGCCTGGAATTCCCTTCACTATTCCTATTTTGGTGGGTCCCACGTCTTCTCTTTCACTAGTTTACATGGGTAAATATAGATTTTTTAAAACCTTGCGTGCCTGAAAATATCTTTATTTTCCACTTTCACCCTTTATTGAGAATTTGGCTCAGTATAGAATTCAGAGATGGAAGGAATATTCCATTGGAGTTTGGGATAGTGCTCTATTGTTGTCAAGCATTCAGTGTTTCAAGGAGTCTAAAGTCATTTTTATTCTTGCTCCTTTATATGGAGCCTATGAAAGCTTCTCTCCAGATGTTTTAAGGTCTTCTCCTTGTCCTTGGGGATCTGAAATTTCACAGTCATGTCCCTCACTGTGGGACTTTCCCCTCCTGTTAAGCTGGGCACTCAGTTGGCCTTTTCAATATGGACGTTCGAGTCCCCTGGTTCTGAGTTTTCTCATATTTTTTCTTTGATAATTTTCTTCACTCCATTTACTTTGTTCTTTCTCTCTGGGACTCCTATTATCTGGCTGTTGTAACTCCTGTATTGACCCTCTAATTTTCTTCTCTTTTCTCTTCTTTATATTTTGGTTTTATTTTCTAGGAGATTTTTCTTTTGTTTTCATTTTTTCCCTAATCCTTCTATTAGGGTTCTTTTAAAATTTCTGCTTTCAAGAATTTCCAAGAATTTTACTTCGGTCTTTTGTTGTAGGAACCTGTTCTTATTTCGTGGATGCTTTTCTGATCTCTCTGAGGAAATGAATGATAAGATTTTTTAAAACTTCTCTTTTGTTTCCTATATTATCTTTGTTTCCTCCAAGTTCCCCATTCATTTGATTTGGTGTATTTATTTCATATTAGAGGCTTTTCTGAAATGTCTGGCAACTGTTGCCCGACTTTTCATATTTAATAGTGAAATACTAAAAAGCCGATTGGATATTCTGTCAGCTGGTGGGCTTCATTCTTGGTGACGAGGCAGTGACTGAGCCATTTCATTTGGAGATCAATAGGTCTTTTCACTTGGGCAGGCCAGTTTATCTGGAGAGGAATCATTCTGTCACCTGCTGAGGGGACTTAGGGTTGATTGCCAGTGGGAGGTAAGTGGGGATGAGAATTTGCCATCTCTCTTGTTGGGTATGGACTTTCACTGACAGTACCTCCTCCCCCTCTGCTATTCCTGGTGCCCTTGAGTCAGTTCTTTCGGTCCCACTTCTCCAGGATAGAGTTCTCTGTTGTAGCCCAATAAGCTACAAGGGGATAGTCATCAGGCTGTGGAACTCAGGAGGGAATCTGGGGGCTTATCTATTTGTTATACAAACTCTCAACCAGTCTTCCTGTTTTTAACTCCATCCTCACCTCTGCCTCTAGAGTAACTTGGTACCTCCAATTCCTGGGCCTTCTGGGCTTCTGTGGTTCCCGTGAGTTTACCACTCATTAGCACCCCCTCTGCAGACCACTAGGAATTAACTTTCTGCTACACCAACTGCTGCTCCTCCACTGACGTGCCACTTCCAGAATATCCGACATCTGTCACCTAGTGTTTTCCATTTTCTTTTTCCTTCAGGATTTGTACTTTAAAAAATCATTTTAGTGAAGTTTTGAGAGGAAGCAGATAAACATATACATCCTGTCTGTCATATTTTCCTAGAACTAAGCTTGTGCCCCCAGGCTCTCCAATGAGGAAGCGATGGAAGTATAACTAGGTTTCTGGGTGCCTAGATGCTAACAACTGAATGAATGTTGAACAGAATTTTCCATTACTCGTAGCAATTGTACGAAATGCAGAAAGAACTACAAGGCCCTTTTGCTTATTTTTCCTCATCTCTAGAGATGAGATTTAACAACTGTGGCTGATTTTTCATGTGATTCTGACAACTTCTCCTCCTTTCAGGGAAAGGTAAACTTCTAAGCCGAGTTAGCTGGTGGTTGCAAGGAAGAAGCCATTGGTCTGCGGCCAGGGAATGGTTGGGGTGGGTGAGGCTTACCTCCTCTTGCTTTGCCCATGATTCAGATCGAAGGGAGAGGGCTCAGGGTTAAGGAAAGAGCACCCATCCTTTCTCTTTCTACATCCACAGCTAGCCTGCCAGATGTGTCATTCTTAGCAGGCCACTGGCTGTGGATCAACAGAAAGATTTAGTGGCTTCAAATCAGCAAGTAGAGGGAAAGGCTCAGCAGGTTGGGAGAGGCATCTTTAGCCCTCCGCTCATCCCATCAGGCTTCCTTGGGAGATGCCACTTATTCAGACGGGTGGGAGGAGCTGCACCCTCTCTCCCTCCATCTCATCTGCAGGTGGCAGATCCTTGGGAGTACAACCGTGAATCCCCCACCATGCTTCTTAGCTTTTATGAACTTTGTCAAGTATTAGTACTGCACTAATATCCCTTTCCTCCCACCTGTATCAGAACTTCTTAAGGAAGCTGACTGCTTTTTTCTTGCCTCCTTATCAGAAACGTGCGCTGTCAACAATGGAGGCTGCGATCGCACCTGTAAGGATACCTCGACAGGTGTTCATTGCAGTTGTCCCGTTGGATTCACTCTCCAGTTGGATGGGAAGACCTGTAAAGGTAGCCTGTGCCTCTCCACGCTGCTAACATGTGGGCATAAAGTCAGCTCTCCCTCTCCACATTTCCAGAATGATTCCAGATTTGCTTATGATTCATATCGATGCAAGCTTTTCTTCCCTGGCTGGTGGAAGATTATAATTGAGTGAGCTTAATTAGAACCAGCTTAATTACACTAACTGTTGAGAAGGTCAGTATCAAATAATCCATTTCAGGCAATGGCCTTATTAGAAAAAGGCAGAAGTTCAAGGGAACATTTGTAGGAGATAAGATCAACATATCATAAATAACAGCCTAGAGATTATGTAAATAACAGCCAAGATTGTTATCCAGAGAACTTAATGAATAACTGTCCCTTTAACTTTTACTGATGAATAGAAACCCCAGTGACCTGCTAGTATTTCATGGGCAAGACTACAAAGGCTTAGTTCTTCAACATGATAAAAAGTAGGTAACCAGTTACCAGATGAAACGGAGAACAGATAAGATTAATTTGAGTATCAGGAATCGTTTAAAAGCATTAAGGCTATTTGATGGTTGTGTAATTTGCCAAAACAAATGTTCCATTTCCTTATAACTTTAATGATTAAACTGGAATGGAAAACATACCAAAAGGAGTCACCTTATCTTGAGAGAGCAGAGCAAGGATGAGAATATGACAGGACATCACCATTCTCTACCATAGATTGTTTCCTAATGCTGGTCAAGGGCAGGGTAAGTCACGGTTCTCAAGGGGACTAAGCTCTTTTCTTTCAAAATTGGTTAAGCCAGGCCAGAAAACACGTGTAAGATTAAAAACATCAGTGAACACTCTTAAAAGCTTCTATGGGTCTGTTTTTGTTTCAGAGAATAATGAATGCACACAATAGCACTTGAGGGATTTGTGGGAAAGGAGGCAAGTATTGCTGTCTGATTTGCCGATGCTTGCCTCTTACAGATATTGACGAGTGCCAGACCCGCAATGGAGGCTGCGATCATTTCTGCAAAAACACTGTGGGCAGTTTTGACTGCAGCTGCAAAAAGGGATTTAAATTATTAACAGATGAGAAGTCTTGCCAAGGTATGTGCTGAAACATAGCTGTGCTGTGCAATGTCCACTGGTTGGAGCAGAGAAGACCCCACCCCGATAGAGACTGGCTCACTGGGCTTCTCTACCGAGTCATTAATCCCACCTCCAACCTGTGCTTCACTGATTTCATCCATTAGGTAGACTAAAATCACTGATATAGCTCACAGATGTATTTTGGAAATTAAGCTGTGAATGATTAGAGAACACTTCACCGAACCCACATGGTGTGGTTAGAGCAGAGCTCTCTCCTAGCGATGCATCGGATCATAGAATGCAAACAGGGTTGTATTAGGGTGTTGGGATTACGAATCATTTTCCTTTTCCAAAATTTCCTTTAATGTTACGGATTTTATAACAAAACTTGGTGGCAAAATATGTGGATTTAGTTAACATACCTTTTTCCCAGGAAAATGTTGGGGTCAACCCATAATCAAGGTCATGTACCAGTTGGTCTCTTCCTTGTAGCCCTTGTTTGAAGGACCAGCCTTTGGTGCTTGGGGAGATGGAGGGAGGGAATTGAGTGGGGGGGAGGCTGATCAGTCCTTGGGCAGGATGGCAGACCCCTTCTTGGATGCATCCCTCCCATATAAGGGGTGCAGCAAGGAACTTCTCTGGGTGGCAGTTGTTGATATTAACTGTTTGAGGTGGTAGTAAGCTCTTTTGTGTAGGGGGTCCATTAATATTTTCAGGGGCCTCAAAAAAGATCTGCTGTAATTTATTCCTATTCCATGTCTGGAAATAAAAACAGCCTAACTTAATTTTGTTAGGAATCCCAGAATTAAATAAAAATCAGAAAATAATATCTGATTTCACTTCAGATACTAAAGATGTAACATCACCTTTTTTAACCTTACAGTGTGAATTAGGTTTCTTTCTTGGATTTTTCCCTTAATGCACATTTTGTCAGGCAATTCAAGCCTAGTCCCCTTTAAATTCAGTGGGTTCATTCTAGACGATTACTGTGTGGTTTTCATCCATTTGGCTTGGAAAGCAAATTTGCTGTTCTACATAATGTTTCATAATGTATAGAGCAAGAAACACTGTTTAAGCTGTGTAAACACATTAAAAAGGAATTAGAAAAGTGATCTCATTATTCTTGGCAAAGCAAAAGCCCGTCATGAGCAGCCAAAGTCAGCTACTGGAAGAGTCTCCTTTTCCACACTGGCTGATGTTAATAACAGAATTCATAGAGTGACATCAATTACATGGGAAGAAACAGACTTTTTCTCATTTTTCACTGATCAGTCTTGGTAGAACAAATATTTGCACAGAACAAATTTGCTGAAGAACTTGCCAAGATTTCTGGGAAAAGCGAGAGAAGAAGAGGTGTTGCAAGAATTTGCCCTTTTTATTTTATTTTTTTTATTCTTCTAGTCCCTTCCAAATGTTTGTTTTTTTATCAATGTAGTTTCTCAAGGCACGTTTGCTGTTGAAAAGAGGCCTAGCAATGGTCTATTTGGCTTCCACTGAGTTCTGCACGGGTCCTGGTTTATCCATTTGGAGGCACAAGTCGTAACTCTGTCAAGGCCTCCAAAGAGCTGAGGAAGCGAAGCTCTGGAATCCTAGTCTACAGGGGAGATGTGAGGACCAGATCAGGAAAGGAGAGGTGATTAGAGCCACCATGCAGCCTTGAGGCTAGTTTTTGGGACCTCAGCTGAAGCCAGGGATGCCTCCACACTAAACCAGGGCAGGAGGAGCTCCATGGGACTGAACCATGGGAGAGGAACAAAGCCAAGGGATTGGCCAAGAGAACCCAGCTTAAACACCGGATTTCAGTGTCTGCAATAGGAAATTACTGAGGATGCATTAATGTATTCTTTTAGTGCAGGGGGCATTAAAACCTAGGATCAACTGACCTTCTGGGGTCAAAAGATTCATTCTGGAAAGATCAGGAAGAGAGGAACCAGATTTATCTGCAACACAAGTGTGTTCTCCTTTCAATTTGCCGTAGCTTATGGAATGACTGTTGCTGTTTTACCAATGGCAACATAACAATAAGAACGCATAGCCTGCACCTAATCATTTACAAGCCCTTTTAAGGTATGTTGCTATCTCATTTGGCTTCATTTAAATATTTTAAATTACTCAGCCCTGCAAATAAGCATGGGTGAGAGAGACTGACTGACTTTAGGCAAGTGCAATTTGCAACAGAATTTGGAAAGAGGAGTCCTGACAGTGAGTATACTTGTTGAGGGCTGCTCAACACTTTCTTTAAGACAAGTGAGTGGGAGAACTGATAGGTAATGTTTTATTCTGTTTGTGGTGTTGTCCCCAGTAACTAGTGTTATAAACGTGTTCCCTCTAAGCATCCCTCAGCATTGGCTTCAGGTCCCCTCTCCCTTTACAATTACAGATGTGGATGAATGCTCTTTGGATAGGACCTGTGACCACAGCTGCGTCAACTACCCTGGCACATTCACATGTGCTTGCAACAAAGGGTACACCCTCTACGGCTTTACCCACTGTGGAGGTGAGAAGATGGCCCCTTTGGAGTCAGATGAGTCTGGGCCTGCAGAGGAACAGGGCTTAACCCTAAGGTGTCCCCAGGTCAGGGGCCTAACTCTAAGGTGTCCCCAGGTCAGGGACCAATTTTCCTACACTGGGGGATGAGCGGGACATTCCAGTCTATGTACAGTAGTATTGAATCCATCGACTCAAGGGAAGCATCTGCCAAAGGACATCTCCCCCCATTTATCCCTTTAACACGTCAAGTATGAAATGGAGCAGAGTGAAGAGCTATGCTCTTCAGCTGTGAATTCTTTATTGACTTTATTGATGTGATTATATTCGGAGAATGGGAGGATCTCTCAGGAGCTGATATCATATCTGTTGGAACTTCCCAGCAGATAGCAAAGTTGTAGTCCTCAGAGAGGCTCGGCAGGGCACCATTTCTCAGACTTGCCTTGTATAGGAACTGACTGCAAAGCCTGTTCGAGCCTTTTGAGCTGGTCTTTAAGCAGGTCTTCGAGCTGGAAGCGGGACCATTGACTTTATCTCTCTGCTCTGTGCCCATGTAGCAACATGTCCCAATGTCATTTGCCCTTATGGTCAAGGAGACTATGGCATAAATCAGATTTGGTACCAAAAGACTCCCACTCTGCGCACCCAATCATCAGGTTCATTCAGCAGTCTTTGAGAACACAGATTCAGGATCTGACTCAGAATATCTGGGGCTCCCAGGGTGACTCTGAGGATCTGAAGACTTGCGAACCACTGGCCTAAATACTTCCTGCTCAGTGTTTGTGTCCTGTGCTTAAGAAGAATGGATAGTAGTGATTTGTTATAGACAATGTTCTCTCTCTTCTCCTTTTCCATACATTCTTGGCAAGACTGAAAACATTCTCTTCTAGTCCATCAAGAAATCCCATGGGCATGTTCACTGAATATGAATGTGTGCCTGGGTTTTAGTTAGAGCCATCTGTGACCTGGACTCAGTCTCAGGTTGGTGGAGATGAGTGCAGATCACTTTCCTTCTCTATACTTCAGCTACATGAACTGTCAGGTGGGGAGTCCTGGTTCTCTCCCTTGGTATGTAGCTCAGGAGGATGGTGGAGTTTTAAATTGGAAGCCTGTGCAGCATCTGAGTTTGAGCATCTGAAAATAGAGGGTCCCTAATTGTGGGATGGTTTGATCAAGAATGGAACTTGAGACTTCTCGTGAGGCTCATGCCAGGAAATCCACCACATGGACAGTGGGGTCAGCTGGTGCCATTTACACATCCTAACGGCAGTCAGCCTCTGCCCTTTGTTCAGCGAGTTTCAACCATGTGACTCCTCTCCTGCTCCTTCCTCAAGGGAAGGGTAGTGCCGGCGGGGCAGGGATGGGCTGCGGTGACAGGAGCGTGTTTTGTTCCCCAGACACCGACGAGTGCAGCATCAACAACGGAGGCTGTCAGCAGGTCTGTGTGAACACAGTGGGCAGCTACGAATGCCAGTGCCACTCTGCATACAAGCTCCACTGGAATAAAAAAGACTGTGTGGGTAAGGGCACCGTGGCCCGGACTCGGTCAGCGGGCTCCCCGCGGCCCAGCTGCGCCCTCCCGTGTCTGCCTGGACCCAGAGTGCGCCCACCGACCCGCCTCTGAATTCCCCTCCCCTCAGCTGTAACAGCCACTCTTTGAATAGCTCAAAAACAGGAGATACTTTGCAGGCTCTTTGGTGTTGCCTTCTGTGCTTCTGCATAGGTTGGAACTCGCTTCTGTTTTCCTGGTTTTCCATGTTTTCCTGGTTTCATGCTTTTCTGCATGAAAAAAATAGCATACAAATAGCACCTTTACCTTGGTGGGAAACGGTGCCTAGGCTTGTGTTCTATGCTGGGTGTCAGCTCTACCTTCTTTTCTTGGGGACTTTGATGCATGGGACCCAGCCGTCCTTGTCACACCTGGAAGTGTCCTTCTCTTTCTGTGAGTGTCTGTATTTTGTCCTGCCTAGAAGTGAAGGGGGTCCTGCCCACTAGTGTATCACCCCACGTGTCCCTGCATTGCGGTAGGAGTGGCGGAGGAGACAGGTGCTTCCTCAGATGTCACTCTGGCATTCACCTCTCTTCAGGTGAGTGGTCCCAGCCCCTGGGGCAGGTCCTCATGCCGGGGCCAGGCCTTCCTGACCATTAGGTGTTAGGTGCTCTTAAAGGGCTACCCCCCAATCACTGGAGGCCAATGTTTTGAGACTCCACAGGCTGGGTGTTTTTCTAGTGGTCTGTGTGGAGTGGGGGTGGGGGATGATTTTAGCTGCTACCAGGAGAGACCGTAACCATGTTTACATGTTGACAATCCACATTCTGTCTGTCAGGACTGCAAGAGGCCTACTCTGTCACCTGCGGCTCTTCCCCTCCTGTCAGGAACAAACAGCAAAAATCAAATGACTCTGCTTTCGGGGGTAATTACCAAACCTGTGTGTCCTCTCTGGGGCTCACTGCGTTCAGTGGCTTCATTCTGGGGTGCTGTTCTTGGGCGTCGGCTTTGCTTTCTTGTCTCTTTATCTCCTTGATGCCGTGAGCATGTTACAGGATGTTCTCACCTGCACTGCAGCCTTGAACGGTGACTTACCACATGACAAGCAGTTACTGTGTCCACTGTGTGGTGTGCGGCTCTGTGTTCAGGCCTGGTGGGTCATCATATTGGGCAGAGACCTACAGAGCTCTGGGGCAGGAGATTCAGGTCTCCCAAACTCCCCGCACCCTAGAGCACCCCAAAGGCCCAGCAGGAAAGTGTGCCTGGGGCACATGGCGTTGGTAGAGATAGACATGGTATGACAGGGTGAGCAAGAATTGTGCCCAGAGAAAGGACCTTGAGCCCTTTCTGCTTTGTCAAAAGATAAACAATTGAAGTTTAAAGCTTTTAGGAAGCTTTATCCTCCCAGATTTAGACATTTCTGTGATTATGTCATGAGAACACCTGAATGAAGAGATGGTTCTTGATGTCCATATGACATATGTGAGCAAAGCTAGAAACCCGAAGCAGGGTACTAACAGCTCGCATCTATTGATCAAACAGTTAAAATATGCCAGCCACTGTATTACATGTATTGGCTGATTTAATCCACATTAAAACCCTCTGGGCAATTTTACTATTATCCTCATTAACCAGATGAAGAAACTGAAGTTCGGAGAGGTGAAATAATATACCCAAAGTGGCTCAGATAAGAAATAGCAGAGCAAGGATTTTGACCAGGCTGTCTGAATCCAGAGTCTTAAGTATTATCCTTTCCTGTTGCTCTTGCCTGACATTTGGACCAGCCAGAGCAGACATCGTGGTGTGTCACTTGGATATTTAGGCCACCCCAGGGATGGGCAAGCAAACAGTTAACAGTTATTCAGTTCTTATTCTGTGCCAGATAGTAGGCTAAACATTTTTTCGTATTATCTCATTTAATCCTCACAACAGCCTGGTAATGTAGGTCCCATAATTATGTCTATTTTATGAATGAGAAAACTGAGGATTAGGGAGATTAAGTTCTCATCACAAGTTAAAGAGCTAGAGTTTGAATTCTGGTCATTGGCTCCAGAGCCTAAAGTATGGTTAAAACTGACCGTGGGAGGAGAGCAGAATTTTACACATGAGGCCCTCAAAGTGGGAGCCTCCCAGATCCTGAAAATCCTAGCCACACTCAGTGAGTGCCATTTAATCTGGGCTGGTGGCCCCTCAGCCCTGTCCTCCCAGGACAGTCTTATTTAGGAGAATCTGCCTTTCCCCATTTTCCTCAGCAGTCTTGTCTAAATTTGAACTAGGGGATTTTGGTCTTCTTTCTTGGGAAGGTACAAAAATGACCTCCTTTTTTATCTCACTGTTGAGGTTGTTTTGGGCCCTCCCTTTGTTATATTTGACCACTGCATTCATCTCAAATGGAGGAATAAGTGTACCTCTTAGGAGGCTCCTTGTGTCCCCAGTCCCAGGGTGATGGGCAGTCTGTGATCCAGACCTTTTTTTGGTCTCAGGGTAAGAGAGGGGCTCAGGGCTTGCAGCTTGCGGTGGGACCCAGCCAATGGGTAGCTCTCCATTACCCAGCTGGTGTTTCCATTCCTTTGCCTCTGAAGGTAACATCTCTCACTTGTTTCTTTCTGAAGATGTCGCCACCGTCAGGACAAGTGTAACCTTTAAGCTAAATGAAGGCAAGTGTAGTTTGAAAAAGGCTGAGCTGTTTCCCGAGGGTCTGCGACCAGCACTACCAGGTATGGAATCAGATGGCCAGTGCAGGGAGCCTGCCTGCATGCTGGGAAAGGGGCCCGAAACAAGCTTGTGCCCTTCAGATGGGATGGAGCAGTTCAGAATCTCCAAGGACTGTCTTCACAGGGGGAAGAGGAGCCTAGCGTAGCATCCCGTGTAGTTCTGGGGTTAGACTTCAGAGCTTCCTTTGCAAGGCACAGATGGGGAAGCTCTGGGGAAACCTGGGAGTTCACAGGAATCAATAAGGGTTTTCAGTGCATTAACACTTGGTGATCATATGGGGTTACATTTTCTAGATCTTCAAGTTTGCTTGAAATATAAGCCAAAGAAATGAAAAAAGGTTTGGCTCAGAAAGGATAATCATTGATGAACAAGGATGTGATATCCAGCTTTCCTGCTGGATCTAGTGTTTGGAGGCTTCAGCAGAACAAATACCATCCAACTGGCCTTATTGAAAAGAGCAGAAGCCAACCCTCCTCTATCTCCCGCAGCCCACATTTCCCGTATTGTTTCATGAAATAATTTTAGAGATTAAAAAAACACCAGAATTTAAGTATTAGGGAGGCTTCTTTCCTCAATCTACCCTCAAATAAATCATACAAACAAATTAAGTTAAAGCTCACTGTAGTCGCTTTGCATTGCCGATTTTAAGTAACTAACCAAGGTTACTTTTGGTACTTCCATTTAAGGGAATATTATGCAGCTATTAATTATATGTTTCAAAGAATGTTTAATGACATAGGAAAATGTTCTTATCATACTAGGATGGAAAAAAGGAAAGTAAAGCTTTTTACATCTAATACAACCCAAATTGTGTAAAAAGACAAATAAGAGGTAGGGGAAAAAAAGGAAAGAAAACTCAGCTATCATTTGTAGTGGTTACATCTGGGTGGGAGGGTGACAGTGATTTTCATTTTTTTCCCTGTGTTTTCCAAATTCTCCACAGTGCACATTTATACTTTTAGATCAGAAGGGGGGGAAAAATTATTTAAAAAGGGATTTGCTCTTCAGTTTACATAATAGTGTTGTACTAAAGTCAATTTTTTAGTTTTAATAAATGTACATGTTAATGGAAGATGTTAGTTAACATCAGGGGAAACTTGGTGAGGAGTATATGAGAACTCTCAGTACTACCTTAGCAACTTACTATCTTAGCAATAAATCTAAACTTGTTTCAAAGCAAAAAGTTAAAAAAATAGATATGGGGAAATGAAAGGGAGATAGTTTCAAAAGGAACATCTGTTTACTGTGAGATTTACAGTTAGCCTTTTGAAAAGTTAATATAGATTTTAGGGGAAATAGATAGAGGGCAACTGGAATTGGCCTCCCTCTTCCTCTGGCCCCTGATGAACTGCTGAGCTTGGAACAGCCTTGTAATCTTAAAGAAGGTGATACAGATGATATGTGAGTTCAATAAAGCAAGATTTAAAAATACAGACAAATCGATTGTGTGGATGATGTGTGGACCAGCTCTTTGGTTCGGGTTGACAATCATTAGTTAAAAGATTCACTGGAAGCCATAGGGGGAGGGGTGACAGCCAAAGTCAGGCACAGGGATGAGCGGAGCCCCGCCTTCCCAACACTTCCACCCCCACCCTGGACGCCTTCATGAGCCGGTTTGGTTCTGTTGATTCTCTGTGCCATGTATTACTCCTGGTTATTTCAAAATGAGACATCACTGTTGATGTGCATCCCAGCTTTCCCTCTGGGTTGGAACTACTTCAGGGTCAGTTTGCCTGAAAGCAGGAGTCAGTTTCCTTTCCACTCCTGTGCTCATTCCTTGTTTGAGGCCTCAGCCCCTTCTTGGCACGTCACAGTCCCGCTTTAAGGAAACCAACTGTGGGAACATGCGTGCACCTTGGCAAACCATCGGTCAGGAACGCAAGACAACCCCAGTTCCTTCTTGTCCGCCCCGTATGTGGCTGGCCAGTTGAAAACATCCAGCGCGTATCCATGCAAATGACTTTCAAGTGCTCAGTCGCTAAGTTATAGAGGAGGCAAACTGGCCCTTCAAAATCAAAACGTCACCGTGCTCCAAGCTGAGAGCTTTCAGCATCTTGGCATCTGGAGTTGATCATTTAGTCCCTTGAGAGTTGTTTTAATGAAATGCTTACTGAGCTCTAGCAAATGTTGGACTGAGTGCTTTGCCGGAATTTGGCTTCCGATGATTTTGTTTCTTCATGCAGAGAAGCACAGCTCAGTAAGAGAGAGCTTCCGCTACGCACACCTTGCATGCGGCTCCGGCAAGCAAGTCCCGGGCGCCCCCGGCCGACCGAGCGCCACTAAGGACATGTTTATCACTGTTGAGTTTGAGCTTGAAACTAACCAAAAGGAGGTGACAGGTTGGTCTGAAAACAGTCTACGGTGCCAGGCTTCCCACAGCGTGTTCCTTATTCCTTTGCCTCTCACTTTTCATCGTTGTTGTTGTTTTTTTTTGGGGGGGGGGACACACGTAGTGCAACCACTGAAGTATCTCCTGTTTTTTTCACCCCCAAACTAAACTGAATTGGTTTGGAACCTCACGATTTTATTTGCTTCATGAAAACCCAAAGCTACCATTCTGGTCCACAAATTTCTGTTGGTATCGAATGCTGCCCAGCCTGCTAGGTGCTCAGCTCCAGGTCTCCCCCACTCTGACCACAGGGAACAGTGTGCGTGTGGGGGGGTCCTCAGTCGGGCTGCAGCCTGCCGTCCCCCCACTGCTGTCCCTCTCATTTCTGCAGCCGCGTGCGATTTGAGCTGCATCGTAAAGCGGACAGAGAAGAGGCTCCGGAAGGCCATCCGCACGCTCCGGAAGGCTGCCCACAGAGAGCAGTTTCACCTCCAGCTCTCAGGCATGGATCTTGAAGTGGCTAAAAAGTCTCCCAGAGCGTCTGAACGCCGCACCGAGTCCTGTGGAGTGGGCCAGAGCCACGTAGGAAACCAATGTGGTGAGTGGCTTGCTGGCCAGGGCATTCTTGCTAACAGAACTGTCTTCAGCTCCACAGACACTAAGGTAACCAGAAGTCTGGCCCATGCTTTCCTCTCTGGGCTCACTCCAGAGGACACCCTGGACATCTACTCATTTGGGAACTACATGGAGGTGTCTGTCATGTCATGAGTTCCCCAGCACCTGGCGTTGTGCCTGCCTCTTGGTGGGCACTTAATAGATGTTTGCGGAATTGAGGGACAGAACAGAAAGGCAGGGTTGGTGAGAAGAGGGAGTGTTGCCCTTTCAGGGTCTGAGGGGTAGTAGTTTCAGATGACTGTGGTCCCCTGCTGGGGCAGGACTACAGGTATGTGGCACCATGAGCCTTCTGCACACTCCACTGTCACAGTTCCCCCCTTATCTCTGGCTCTACTGATGGTGGCAACAAACAATCTCCTGTTCGCAGTTTTGTGCTGAGGTAAGGCTGGGGGCTGCTCGGCTGTCTCGTGAGATCCCTTAGCTTCAGCCCAAGGTTCCTCGGAGTGTCAGCTTCATGTATGTTGGTGTGTGTGTCTGTTTGTGTGAATTAAGTTTGCGATCTGGCATTTGAACAACATCAACTCTATTCCTTTGATGAAGTTCCAGGCAAGAGGAACCTGGACAAGAGGTTCAAGGGGGGTCAATCTTGAGATTTGTTTGTTTTGAAAGACTGTCTGAGCAATTGTGGGCAATTCTATCCGAAAAGTCTTGGATGGTGGAAAATGGGAGCCTCACTGTATAGTAATAATGGTAATGATTTATTGAGCCCTCTTCTGTCTCAAGTATAGCACTGTATCTAAGCACTGTAGTTATCTTACTATCTTATTTCATCCTAGCAGGAGTCTTACCAGGTAGGTATTATCTCCATTTAACAGATGAACAAACTGGAGCTCAGAGGGCTAAGTTCTCTTGCTCAAGATCACATTGATGGGCTGACTGCAAAGCCAGTGCTCTGGTCCCAAGTAAGGTAAATTTTGATAACCAGAGCCCTTCAGAATAAAGAGACGTCCTTTCTGAAGCGTCATGAGAATCTTGAGTCTCAAGAAATGGAGCTTGAGCTGAGGAGTAATGAATCAGTGTTTCTGAAGAAGCAAAGCTGAACCCCTTGGTACTTAGTTGGGGGGGCTGTCAGCAACAGCCCCACAGTTCAAATCTGTTGTTTTTCCGAAATGTAATGAAAATCATGTGAAATCAAGTGTAACTGTCCACCAGAGGCTGGTTCTCAAATAGTCTTAACTTTTATTCCAGCTGACTCTCTTAAAAGAAAAAAGAAAAAAAAGTAAAAACAACACAGCTGGTTGGCTTGTTCTCATTTAAAATTTGAAGAGTTCCAGTTTTTGTATCAAAATGGTGATGAGAGTTGGCTGTTGCTGCCCTACTTTCCAGGGTGAGTTGCAGAAACTCTCAGGGATGAGCAGGCTGGCCCTCCTCCTGACCCCTCAGAGCTGCATTGCATCCCCTTTCCCCATTTGCTACCTGTTAGGGGGAGGCCTGGTAGGCTGGCCAGGGAGCCTTTGTGGTCAGTTAAGAATTCAGGAGAAACTAGTGTCAAGGGCCCCGTGGACCAGCTCCCAGTGAGAGTATGACCAGTACCACCACAAGGGCACTTCTGGGGAATAAAAGTCCAGAATGAGGATCCTGAGTTACTTAACGGAGGCCTCGTGGGCATGACAGCTTATGAGAGACACTCGGCACGGGGTGTATGTAGCTGTTGTGTGTGTGTGACTGTCCTGAGATGCTGGTTGGGCTAAGTTAGATTGGATTTGTTGCTGATGGAGGCAATATGTCTTGTCTCAAGAGCTCCCTCTAGCATGGATTTTGTAGCCCACATGGGACCAAACCAGGTTCACCGTGTCTGACAGCAATGTTGAAGAGTTTACCGTGTAGAGGAAACAGCACAAAGAATTACCAGTGAAAATCCTTCCTCCTGCTGGAGGGAGAAAACTGGCATAAAGAGCAATTGGATAAGTTAATCAGAAAGGCTTTTTACCTAGCAGACTCATGGCGCTGGTGAGCCACAGTGTGTGTGCGTGTGTGCGTGTGTGTGTGTGTGTGTGTGCGCGCACGCGTGCATCTGCCTGTCTGGTTTATTTGATGGTCTTAGAACTTCATAAACACCACGCTTACTGGTATTTTCTGAACCCTTAATGGCATATACCATAGGTATAGTATACGAGATAGTTCTTTTTGGAAATTATTTTCAGTGTCTGTAGAAGACAGTTCAAAAAGCGTTCTGACTCACCTGGAAGGAGAGATGGAGCCATTATGTTTTTCCTTTAAAATACTTTTATTTAGTTTTTAGTGACCAAAATAGTGTGTGTTTCAAATGGTACAGAAGTGTGTAGAATAAAAATGAAAGTTCTCCCCTCAGCTTTCAATCCCACTCCCCAGAAGCAATCACTGTCAATAACTTGCTGTGTATTTTTCCAAAATCTGTTTTTATGCATATAAAAATGAAATTTTATTTCTCTATTCCATAAACATTTATGGAGCACCTACTGTATGCCAGGTACTACTGGAGGTGCTGAGAATGCAGTAAAGAAACATAAAAGTGAAAATCTCTGCCCTCACAGAGTGTCCGATGCCGGAATAAACAAGGCAATATACCATGTAGCAGGAGGTGGTAAGGGTATGAAGAACAGGTAGGGAGGGAACTGGGATAGAAGGTGCCAGGGCACGGGGAGAGGTGAGGAGGTGTGTATTCCTCTAAATGTAGACTGTGGTCAAGGACTATGGTCTTGCAGAATGTCATTTGGGCAGAGATGTGAAGGACAGAGGAAGCAAGGATGGGGACATCTGGGAGAAGTCCCAGGCAAGGGCACCAAGAAACACAAAAACTCCGAGTCATTGGAAAGAGGGTCCGCAAATGAGGGCTGGGGGTGGGGGTGGGGAAGAAGTCAGAGCAGTAGCCGAGGGCCAGGTCACCTGGGGATAGAAATGGTGCTGAGGACCACTGACTTTGAATTTGAGAAATGAAGCCAATGAAGGGTTTTGAGCAGAGGAGTAACAGAGTTCTGACTTTTGTCTTAAAAGGACAACTTTGGCTGCTGTGTTGGAAATAGATTGTAGGTTTATGTGTGGAAAAAACATTTAAAAAAATATATCAATATAATTTGAATAGTGTTATGTGTTGTTTTTAACTGGAGTAGATTGCTATTTCTTTCCAAGCTAATAGAGGAGCTTCTTTCTTTTTTTTAAAAACCCTCACCCAAAGATATGTTTCTATTGATTTTAGAGAGAAAGAAAGGGAGAGAGAGAGAGAGAGAGAGACGTTGACTGATTGCCTCCCCAACTGTGGATCTAAGATAACCTGGGTATGTACCCTGATCAGGAATTGAACCAGCGACCCTTTGAACCAACTGAACCAAACTAGCCAGGGCTAACTTCTTTTAAAGTGTCCTGGTCCTTTTTAAAGACACCAGTATTTGTTAGCCATACTACATAGCCATCTATCACCACCCTATTGGTGGATGTTTAAATTATTCATAATTTTTCTTTTTTTTAAAAAAAAATATATCTTTAGTGATTTCAGAAAGAAGAAGAGAGAGGGAGAGAGAGATAGAAACATCAGTGATGAGTCACTGATCAGTTGCCCCCTGCACAACCCCTACTGGGGATCCAGCCCGCAACCCGGACATGTGCCCTGACCGGGAATCAAACTGTGATCTCCTGGATCCTAGGTCGATGCTCAACCGCTGAGCCATGCTGGCCAGGCTAGTCGTAATTTTTCTATTATAAACAATGCTGCAATGAATATTCTTTTTGTGCACACAGCCAATATTTCTGAAGGATAGACTTGTAGAAGTACAATTGCTGGGTCAAAGGACATGCTTATTTAAAACGTTAGTAGATACTGCCAAATTACCCTCCAAAAAGACCATACTAATATATACTCTCTCGAACATTCTGTCTGAGTGTTTATTGCCTCACATGATTGCTAACATGGGTCAGTTGTCACTGATCTTTATAATTTTTGCAAATCTGGTAAAAGCAAAAATGATGAAGTAATTTTAACTTGGTTTTCTTTGATTATTCGTGAGACCGAGCATGGTGTCATGCATCTGTGGCCACTCGGATTTCTTCTTCCGAGATTATCCATATTCTTTGCCTATTTTTCCATTAAATTGTTTGTTTTTCCGATATCATTTAAAAAATAAAATTTAAAGCCCCAAGTTACATCAAAGAACAGTAACTTCTGACCAATTAAATACTTTCTTATAGTCATTTTACCATAGTAAATAAAATCTCGTTAATTTGGCATTTAAGGGTTTTAGGGACAGCCTGCTCTGTAGGTGACCTTTGTACCATCTGTGATCAATTTGAACAAGATGGGAAAAAAGAGACAGTAATTATATTCTCCAAAGAACAAATTCCTTAAGCTCCAGAGTAATTCACAAAGTCCTTAATAGCTAAAGAAAAATTAATGATGACGAATCTCTAGCTGTTTTTTGTCCATAGCAATTTATCTTTTCATAAAGAAAAACGAAGAAATACACTTGCAGCCTGGCCGGGCGGCTCAGTTGGCTGGGCCTCCTCCTGTGCACCGAGAGGTTGCTGGTTCTGTTCCTGGTCAGGGCACGGGTCAGGGTTGCCGACCCGATCCCTGGTGGGTGGCGCGCAGGAGGCAGCCCATGGATGGTCCACTCACATCAGTGTTTCTCTTTCTCTCTCTCTCCCTTCCTTTCTTGCTAAAAATCAATAAAAATATTTTTTAAAAAAGAAATATACTTTCTACTCTCTATATTTTTATATTTGATTAATCTTAAAACTTGCTGAAATTTTTTAAAAGACACAATCCAGGCAACTGGCAAACTGGGTTTTTGAGAGACTAGGAAAGTTTAATTCAGCTTTTAACCCTTTGCGGTTGTATTAAATTTGGACATGGGTGTCGTACTGGTCGGAATTAAGAGCTTTCAGAGAAATTATGAACTGATACATGAATGAATAGAGTTAAGATTCGTACGGTTCCTTGCTGTGGTGGCT